GTTGGAACGAAGTTACGGAAAAATCAATTAACAAACGGAGACGTAACAATATCATTTGTTTTCTACATGCTTTAGTGATTTTTAAATTTTTCATTTAGCTAGTTTTTTTTTGCAGTTTAAGCAATAACAAATAGTATCTGTGTTGAAATAATCATCAACTGTAATATACCTTGCTGGCTGAATTTTATAGTATACAAGTTTTAAGTTCATAATTCTATAGGGCAATATTAAAAAAAATCCTGAATTTCCATTAGTGTGACCCACGTGACACATTTTCTCTTAGCATGTCATCATCCCTGTTTTATCCACCACCCCTCAAAAAAAAAGTACAAAATTAAACATATATATTACTCTCTATAAAATCATTATTGTTCAGACAAACCATAATTTTTATAGTCTTGAATTTGGTTTTGTTACAGAGCTATCAAACAGAAAATCAGACCCCTCCTGCCACATCCTCCCTTTCACAATTTGTTGATATTTCTCTCTTACGTTTCATTATATATTACCTATGACCAATAGAAAGTCAAGGTTTTCATCTATCAAATGATCTATTGCATAACATTGTGCTCTGAGCAGAATATCTTTAATTTCACTCACAGTACAAGATTTGTTCCCATGGGAAAGTTAACAACTAGCTTGGATGAATTTGTAACAGCTCTTGTTGCATAGTTAGAAAGCCAGAAACATTTTTATAGTTAGAGGAAATTGTCTGCTTTTTGCATGTTATTATTCTATGTTCTTTGGTGCATTTTTAATTAAAAAATTTACTACCATTAGTATAAAAAAAGTAGGGTTAATTGTCATCAACAGCCTACAGCAAAAAAAGAAAAAGAAAAAAAGAAGACAAGGGTAAGTACCTTATTTCTTGTTTATTCTTTATTTATTATTATAAAAGTAACTAAAATGTAAAAATATGGATCTTTGTAAGTTATTTAAGACTAGTTTAGGTAAAATAAGTAATAATAATAATGTAATTAAAATGGCATGTACATGAGCAGCTCGTGGGTAATGTAATTCGATAGTGTAACATGAGCTACACGTTCCCCGAGTGATTTACAACTTATAATGGTGAGAATAGTGCTTATACATGGTTCAAAGAGCAATAAAAATAAAATTTAATTATAAATAGATGTATACTGTTACAAATTTAGAGCTACTTAGGATAAACAAATGTAGTTTCATGTGACAAGTTGAAGTCATTCTATAAAGAAAAAAAAGGGTAATTTAGGTTTATTTAAATATTTTTTTGTTGGTTATGAGGTCAATCGAATTGACTGATCCCATTTTGAGGTAGGGTAGAGAAAATAACAGATAAACTATATAGTTTAACTAAAAAAACATGCTTGAAATGCATTTAAGAGGTTTTAGGGATTACACAAAAGAAATTTGAGATTTTTGAGATGAGGAAAAGTATTTTAATTTTAACATGAATCTTACTTTGCACATGGACTATTCAAAATAAATACTCAATATATTCATGGACAAATCTTTTTTTCATTTTATTAAAAATACTTCCCTAAAAAATATGATTTTTATATGTGAAGGACTTGCACACCATATACCTAAGAATCGATCTCAGCAGAATGGAAGCATGGATGATTGAGGGTCATCAAAGTGAAATGATGCCTGGTTGAATTCAATACCATATGGAGGAAGTCTCTACAGCATTTCTAGGTTGTTGCCAGTCAGAACACCCCAGCCCCAGCCTAAACCACTCTACATAATTCTATATGCATGGATCATTTTGACTGATCTTGTAACCACCATAAAAAAATACAAAAAATATGACTGAAAATTGTAACAGGAAACCACAATTGTTTATCCTACATGGCTTAAAAATTTTAACAGTATACATTTTTTTTCCATTTGAACCATATTCCACCACACAAGTTGTAAATCACTTGGCAAACGTGTAGCTCATATTACCGCATCGACTTATGTAATTCATGATTTGCTTATGAGCGTACCTTGCGAAGAATTTATATTATTATTTTTTTTCATTTTAGTGACTTTTATAATAACAAATGAAGAATACACATGAAAAACAAGAAATATGGTATTTACCTGGGTCCTCTTTTTTTTTCCTTCTGTTAACCATCGATGAAACTTAAGCCTACTATTTTATACTAATGGTAATACTACACTAAATATTTAATTAAATAATCCACCTAAGAACACAGAATAATAACATGCACAAAGCAAACAGTGTCTTATAACTATCATAATTTTTCTGGTTTCCTAACTTTGCAATAAGAGTTATTTAAAAATTCAGCTAAGCTTGTTGATGTAAATACAGTAAGAAAAAAGTTTCCAAATGGAAGGGAAATAGACAATTCTCTGTACAGAAAGCAACATATATCATTTGACAGAATACAATTTCAGCTTTCTATTGTTTATAAATAATATAATACGAAACGTCAGAAAGAGTTATTGGAAATTTATGAAAGAGAGGATGTGGCAAGTTTGTCTGATTTTCCAGTCTATGGCTCCATAAACAAACAAAATTGAAGGCTATAAAAATTATGCTTTACCTGAGTAATATCTGTATCCTGATGAGTAATTTATGTTAAATTCCATACATTTAAGAAGGATGGTAAATAAATTAGAGAAGAGGGAAGACCTAAAGAGAAAATGTCACAATTTTCATACTAGGGGAAATTAAGGATTTTTTAAAAATAACTCCTTATAAAATTAAAACTTGTATAATATTAAAATGCAATTTATTAACTACATTCACATATAAAGATAATAAGGCAGTTTAATTCAATTTTGAATGTAACTCCCTAAAACGTCATGACATGCACACTTTAACCTGCCTGTAGTGAGAGGGTTAATAAAACTGAATAAATGCTGGTAAATTATAAAGAGTTTTCAAACTAATTTATAATGACAATTAAAAACAAAGGGATTCACAACAAATGGATGTATTTCAAAGTTTAAATAATAGAATGTATATACTATTTTACTCTATATATTTAATATCACATCTGAAAAAAAATGCATATTTCAAAAACAATTGAATATGAAATTAAATGAGCTATAAAAAATGCAAAATCATGAATAAAATAAATCTTAAAGTAAAATTATGAAATTAACAATCTAAGCTTTCAACGTGTAAGTGTGATCTTTAAGAAAAATAACCTAACAAATATGTCAAATGCTCAAACAATAATTTTCTTACTTTCTGTTTTTTTTCATATTATTTAGACTATATCATTTTCCTTCTTTTTTGTACATTTACTTTCAACTGTTTTTACTTTCCAATTAGTTGGACTATTTGCTATTTTCAAGTGTTTTCAACTTTTTTAAAGAAGATTCTTGATTTATACTATCACAGCTCAAGTATAATCATAACTATAATTCTATTTTTCTAGTCTCTGCTGTTTGGTTAAACTTGTTCATGTTATTCTAAAACATAATGATATATATATCTGTATTTAACTTTAAGAATGTAAATCACAACTATTGACACATCATTCCTACAGAAGCAAAACAAAATTGGCTAAGCAAGAACAATGTAAATTTAGTACATTTTTTTCAAATCTACAAAATACATAATTGCTGAATGACAATCTGCTAATAAACAAATGGCTTAATTTAAATCAAATCAGTTTTTTTTTATATAATACACAGAACCTACTCATAAATCAGGTCTCAACAAATATCTTCAGATCTAGGAGACAGCCAGAAACTCAGTAGCCAGGTGTGCCTAACCGCACTATTGTTTGTACTGGGAAATGGGGGCTACACTAGTGCCTCGATTATCTGCTGTTTCTGTTATCTGCGATTGTTTGCTTTCCCTGGACCAGTGCGGATAATCAAGGCACCAGTGTATATCTATTTACTTTCACAGCAACGAGTGCATGCTAATGATCACATGTAATCAACAACTACTTGACAGTATTGCCTGAACTAACTGCCTTTGGTCCTGTTGGAGTCTAAACACATGCACTGATTGGTTGATTTGAGAGAAAGAAGAAAAAACAAAATGACGTAAAATTAGTAATGTGTTGTTAAACTGCAGTGCTTCATTGCTGAAAAAACGTGAAGAAGTGCTGAATCTACCATTAAAATCCTAGAAACAAAGTTTGATTTAGGACTAAAAGACAAAGAATGTGAAAATTGTTCTGGACTTCTAAGAGTCCAGAACTGTTCTAGATTCGAGTTCTATTTAGCACAGCCCTATGCATGAATAAAATGGGAGAAAATACTAGGTGCCACAATGAAATTTTCAGTTATCATGGTGACCTGGCACCTAGGTTTTGTCAAGGCCTGCCTTAAATGTATTAATAACAGGTCTAAAAATTAATGAAGGAACATGTTTGTCAGATTAACATTGCAAATTATACAAGTATCAAATATTTATAAAGTAATAATTATATCTTCTTTAATAATAATGTTTGGAAAATGTGTAGGTTCAAAAAGTCAATTAAAGATAACAATACTAAACACTATAACCTGAATACTTTTGAAAGGTGGACCTTTCCTCATCAGGGCTAAACTGGGAAACTTCAATGGTATTTATAAAATATTTCATTTATTATCTTACCTGGTAAACCATCTGGCTAAGAGTAAAAACATTATGGATACTACAAGGATAATTCCAAGAGCTGTAAAGTGGTAGTCATTTGGGATAACCTGCCAGAAACCTCTTACTGGTGACTGAAAATGAAAAAGAGAGTCTTAAGAGTGTATCTCATCAACTCCTGTTGCAGAAGGTAATTATTTATTCATTAGTTATATTGAGCTACAAGTTTCAAGATGGATTTGAACACACGTCAAACATATATAATGAAGCAATTCTCCCTGAAAGCAAGTGTTACTAAATTCTCATCACACCTTCACTTGATCTTTTTCATCTTTGCTCCTTTATTCACTAATCTTTCTGTCTACTTTATCTCATCTACATCCTATCAATGTGCAACATCCTCAACTCATCTAAGGTCATTTTATCTCTTCACCATTTATCCATCCTCATTATCATTTCAGTCTTTACCTACATACAACTTTTATCATTAGTTAAAGTAGATTCAGCAGTGTAGAGGGCTAAATATTTTATCATTTAAAACAACCAGAATAATCTATTATATGCTGCAACCTGAAACCATACCCAAAATAACAACACCACATAATACAAATATATGAATGTTTAATCCTAACACTAAGTAAATTTAACAGTTACATTTACCTTGCACACAAATAATATATAAAGATGAAAAAGGAAAGAGAAGAGAAAAAATAATGAATGTAATGCAACAGGAACTTCAAATCAAATTAATATTGGTACATTTAACTTTCTGTGATTTCTTAAGTTCCTTGACACAAATAACTTCTGCTCTTTTCTTTCAGACTTTTAATGGTTTTTATAGTTGTTTTCTCTTTTCTACCTGTTGTAACTACAAAAATTTTTTGAAGACAAGTATGTATGTCTGTCTACTTCTCTTATGGTGTACTTTTGGCATCTGGAATATTGCCTATAACCAAGCCATGCATATATGAATATCTTCATGTACACAACTTTAATTTCATCAGCAAAGTATAGTATCTACTTTCACATTAGCAACTGGAAATCATCTGAAAGTTCTATCAATTAGTATACAGAAATGTTCTTTTTCCTATTTCTTTCTTTGATACTTACACACTGCTGCATCCTGTATCTCATAATGCTTTTCTTCATTTTCACCAACATATCCATTACAAACTAGCACTTCATGATCCAATGTTGGCTCTCTCTCTCTCAACTGATCACTGATATTGAGTTTCAATTAACAAGAGTCAAGCTATCCTCATTAATAAAGTAGATGATTGGGTTTTTGCCTCCTAACTACTTCTTGACACAAAATGCTGTCTTGATTTCAACACTCAGTTTTCTTCTACTTTACTCTGTTTGTAACCTCCATCATTATATCTTCTTCATCCATTACTATTTGAATATAATACTTCAGCTGACTTATGATGTTGGTGCTCAACTTTACACACTTTAGTAATGTGACCATTCCTACTGCACAGAAAACTTTCCTGTTGTGCATGGGCTATTCCATAAGCCTAAGTGACTTCATTTGAATCTGCCTATCACTTATTTATCTGTAGAGGAAACTATGTTTCTCCTGAAACACGTTTAACACTTATTTCACTTCTACCACAAACTTTCACATATTGTTTGGCTAATTTCATCATTTCTTCCACATCCTTCAATCTCCTCTCCTTAAGAAACTCCCTCCATCACTGGTACATCCAATGGAGGCTTAGAACTCTGCAGGACCTACCACAGCTAATGGAGTTATCCAACCACACAAGATTTCAGGGCCAGCTCAACGACAGATATAGTGCACTCTCCCATCTCATATGCATCAATCAGTAATGCACCTTCATACATGGATTTGGCTATGGTGAATGTCAGGCTAGATCTGAGAGTCTTAAGGATGGCTACGTAGTTGAAGTCTCACTAAAGGGGAAGTACTGGCATACTGGTGTTTGTCATAAAGTTGTTCCTTGATGCAGCATGGAAGTAGAGGAAAGAAATAACCGGAAGGGTAAAAAATTGGTTCTTAAATAACAAAAGTTTGAACTGAAATTGTAAATTCAGTTGAATTATTATTGTTCAGAAATTCAGTCAGATGTATAGGTTGTAAAAAGAGTCTAACTGCTTGGTTACAACAATGACCTACTCTAAAATTACTTTTAGAGGCAAAGTGATAGAACTATTACATTGTTCAAATGATATTTCTTCAGATTTCACATGCACTCACTCACATTTCATTCATAGGAAATGCATACCTAACATCTGTGGACTTCTCAGTCTCTCAGGCTTCACAGGGCCTCTGTTTGACAAATATCTACACAGCGTGGTCACAAGTAAATAGACACCACCTTTTCAGAAAAAATGAAATTTTTCAGTCATAATTTATAATTTAATTAATATCTAGTAGATCTTACTTTCCCTTCGTGGAGTTCGTTGATCCTTCGGGGCATTGTGAGAATCATCTCGTCAATTTTAGATTGTGGGATTTTCGCCCACTCTTGCTTAAAAGCTTGGAGTATATCGCTCTTCGAAGTTGTTTTTTTT